TCTCTCTCTCTCTCTCTCTCTCTCTCTCTCTCTCTCTCTCTCTCTCTCTCCTCTCCATCTCTTTCCGTCCTCCTCCTTCTTATCTCTTCTTCTTCGAATCTGAGAGTGTGAGAGGTTGTCAGTAGGGATTCAGGCAGAGGTTATGCCGGGCGCATCGCCCAGGATGTGATTCGACATTTCTGGGACAGACATTGATTGGACACTCGGCAAGGGACTATTTTTTGGACTTCGCTATTGCGATCTTGGTCTACTCCCTCGCCTCCTTCCTCCTCGTCTCGTCCCTCCCCCATCTCTCATCCGTGGTATCTCCCCATGTATGTGTGCGCAGGAGGGACCTTTCTTCCATGTGTGCGGTCCCTCCTCCCTCTCTCACCTGTGTGATGTGTGATGGATGTCGGGTCAGTCCAGATCAGATCAGATCTTCTCTTTAAGTCTTCCGCTGTGTCATTTTCTGCCATCTGTATGTATTCGGAATGTACATTGCTTGTTGATGCTACACTGACCTTGCATTGTTCATTTCAGTCCTTTTCATCACATAGCGGATCCTTGGCTCCCTGCGCATTGTCCCACTGGACATGCGTCAGTATTGACATCATTTCAAAACGGCAATACAGCACGACAGTTGATATGGGGAAAAAAAATTCTCTTGTGGTGTTTGGAAAGGGCTTGGGAGACCTTGTCGTTATGCAGCTCGTGCACTACAGGAGAGCAAGCGCTCACAGGAGGATTATTGTGATCCATGATTACTGTTGAGGGCACTTAGAGATTCGTATGCGGGAATAGTGTGCCCTGTGGTCGGTGAGGGTGAGCGGGTGAGGAAGGCAGATGACTCAATTGTTTTGCCACCTGAGACGAGACGACAACCAGGACGGCCCCCTGTGCAGCGCATGAGATCTTCAACGGAACCCAAGCAAGCATCATCACGAAAGAGAGGGCCCGCAAAGTGCAGCAATTGCCAACAAGTAGGTCATAATTCGAGGACATGCAAATTTTCCTATGTTGATCCAAAGAGTGTTGAGCAGGAGAGGGAGAATGGCAGTGCTAGGCAGACTGAGGGGTTGTGCAGTGTCGACGGTCAGCATACTGGACATCATCCTCTCCGCAAGGACAAGGGAGGACGCAGTGGCATGGGTCGAGGTGGGCGAAGGGAGAAGCGTCCCCGACCAGCATCAGATGAAGCTAGAGGTTCATGTCATGGGGGTGGCGGTCGGGGACGAGGCAGAGGAGCTTCCACTGTCTTTCCGGCAAGTGTGTTGGATATAGGCACATTAGACGAGGTGCTTCTGACCGAGCCAGCCAATGACGGTAGTATTGATATTGTATTACACCGATTGTCCACTCACGATGACGATCATGCAGTCGATGCATTGGTATATGATGACGATGATGGGGTGGATGGTGGTGGAGATGAGGCTGACGCAGACGATGCTGATGCAGACGATGATAATAGTGATGATGGGTGGCGTGACTCTTTCCTTGATCCAGGGGATGGTGAGGATATCTTTGAGGAGGGTGCATTACGTACTCATGGACTATCTGCAGTACTTCATGTGGACGATGATGCACAGTTGGGGAATGCAACAAATGCTGAAACAATCAGAGACAGTGAAGTGTCCGCATGTGACACTGGCATTGCAGCTAGGATGTCCGTACGTTTGCAGAGCCGCGCAGTTCGCGCTTTTCATTGTTGAAGTATTTGTAGGGGTGTGATATAGATGCAGATAGTTATTGGAGTGTATTGTATTCTCCGATCACGGGTAGGATGTCCGCATGCTTGCAGAGTCGTGCAATTCGCAGTTTTTGTCGTTGAAATGTTTATTGGGGTATGATATTGATGCAGACATTTACTGGAGTCCATTTTCTTCTGTAGATGATGACATTGCATGCATTTCACACATGGAGTGTATTGTATTTTATGTTGACTTTGGTGTTTGTTTCAACCGTTGAAGACATATCAGCTTTCGGTCGAATGATGAGCCGTTGCCCAAACTCTATTAGGAGGTTTTTGTTGTTTTCAATGCTTGCACTTCTCTTTTGTTACTCGTGATCACACTTTTTTGTAAAAACAATCTTTACAATCAGCATTTTGAATGTTTTTAGAGGTACCGTTCCCCACATCTCATATTAGCACACATGCTCAGCAAATACAGATTTTGACATCCTTCAACAGTCCTCCGATTAATCCACATGCTTAACAGATGAATACAAGCATTGACTTATGACACTTAATGACAACACAACTCAACACTCATCTCCTACAATACACAGTTGAGCACGCTTCAGATCAACCGTTAAAGAACAATGAAGCAGTCATTAGCAAGCAACATGGAGCAGAATAGATCCATTAAATCCCTCTCTCGACTACCTTTACTTTGGCTTTCTTTTGGGTACCTCTTCTATTTGCTATTGCAGCTCTCTTTTTACTGTGCATTTCCCTTGCAAGAGTGGCCACGTTGGTTGTGGTCCAGCATCAGCTGCCACCTCTAGAGCAGACTCCAGAATAGCACAGGTCAGTAAGCGCTTGGGTTGCAGGAAATTTTGAGTTGAGGAACTGCCATTGCCTTACTGACGGCTTAGGTTGCAGGGAATTTTGAGTTGAGGACCTGCCATTGCCTACGGTAAGTGGGCAAACCTGCATGTAGCGGACAGGACCGGTTTAGGTGTGGACTATGAAAGCACGTCAACCAATTCTCAAAGTTGCAGTTGCTACATCGGATGACACAGTGAAGACATAATATGTCACAGGCTACGTGTATCGTACACGCTAGGGACACAGAGGCACGCCCACAGCAATCGCATAGGCATTGTCGTTCCAGCCCCTGTGAATAAATTGGACATGACACGTCACGGTGCCGTACCGGAGGGGATTGTCAAGTGTCATCATAGATGAGAAAACATATACCTGCATGAGGTGTGGCTTCACATCACAGGCTAGCTGAATATAAGGTGGGCCAGCACAGACTGGCATTGAGCGAGTTTGTTTGTGACTGTTTGCATGTGTTTGAGTGCACTGACTGTTTGATGTGATGTCTGTGTGTGACTGTTCGCGTCTTTCTGTGTGACTGGCTGTTTATGCTCTGCTGCAGCTGTGTGGTTCTGCCCAGTCTATCACAACTTTTCTGCTGCATTGCACTTTGGCCTTGGTAGCTGGGCTCGGAAGAGAAGAAGCTGTTTTCCTTTTTCTCTTTTCAAAAAGACATGTTAAAAAAAAAAAAAGAGGCATAAAAAGACCGCCCAGTCTATCACAACTTTTCTGTTTGTAATCTAAGCCATGTTCTTCACTCAATTTAACATTTCATTACCTACCTGCAAGTACTCCCAAGCCTATAGGGAACCCCTGCAACCAGATATTATAGGCCAGTTCAATTGGTACCCCCCATGAACTGTGAAATACCAAGCTGAGTTCGAACCCAGACATTACTGGATCAATCAGATATTATATAGCCACCCGTGCATTACCCGGGGCAATTATGTCTGACACGATAGCGCGGCTCCCTTTATTCTTTTTTCCTTTACAGAAAGAACAAAAAGAAATGAGGTCACCGCTGTCCAGGACCTCTCCCTCTCTCCCTTTACGGTTTTGCCCCTCTCCCTGTCTCTCCCTCTCTCGCCCCCTCCCTCCCTCCCACTTCCGCGTCCACCCGAAGAAGGAGAAGAGGAGGTGGAGAAGACAAGAACGTAAAGAAGAACCTGCTACGTGCCAATGGCACTTGGCAGTGCTATGTGGCGGCTGCCAGGTGGCATACTCCACAGGGCTCTCTCCCTCTCAGGAAGGAGAAGAAGGACCGCTGACGAACGACCGTCCTGGAAAAAAAAAAACCGCATGGCAGGGCCACGTCGCACGCGATGCCACGTGCCAGCCCAAACTCTCTCTCTCTCTCTCTCTCTCTCTCTCTCTCTCTCTCTCTCTCTCTAGCCGTTTCACGGTGCTTCCCTGCTTGCCACGTGCGCGCGTTGGGAGGGAGGGTTCACACGTTCGGATTTTTTTAAGGTCACTCAACTGAGTGCGAACGCGAAAAAATCGGGAAAGCACTCAGCCGAGTGACCTTCAAAAAATCCGAACGTGTGAACCCTCCCTCCCAATGCGCGCACCCTCCCTCCCAACGCGCGCACGTGGCAAGCAGGGAAGCACCGTGAAACGGCTAGAGAATGATAGATAGATAGATAGATAGATAGATAGATATCGTCAAATAGATATAACGATATATATATATATATATAGAGAGAGAGAGAGAGGTCGGGCTGGCACGCGGCATCGCGTGCGACGTGGCCCTGCCATCACACGCTCGGATTTTTTGAAGGTCACTCGGCTGAGTGCAAACACGAAAAAATCGGGAAAATACCTTTCTCGGCCTTTTGGCTAATCAGTTTAATATCTGATCCGTGGTCCGGTGGGGTCATATGGGTTGGCTTGCCTACTCGATCCCTCTGAGTTGCCTCTGTATTGCACTGCAGCAGAGCGTGGCTCGCCCCATTCTCCTTTTCAGGGGGAATTTACAAAAAAAAATAAAAAAAATAAAAATAAAAATGGGGAAAATCAAATGGCCGGTACCGTTTGGGTCCATGGACAATCGGTTTTGGTCCAGGCCGGTACCGCTACCGGCCTGATGGTGGGTCTCTGGCCTCAGGGATCAGTCCCTGAGTCCCTGAGTCCCTGAGGCCAGAGGCCGACGCGTCCTTTGCTGTCGAAGTCCTGCAAAAAAAGAGCCACATTTTTGCTGCGAAACTTGATGGACCCGGTAAAGCTGCTGCCAAACATTTTTGCAAGGGAAACTTGATGGACCTGACGATATTTTTGTTGTCAAACTTCGGAAACACAATATTTTTGCAATTAACCCATGGCACTACCTGAAGAGAACGAGATAATTCTGAATCATTTGCGGCCAGCAAGTTCAATCACGTAATGTCAATGCTGCTGGCCTTCAAACCCCCCGTACTTGGACCCTTCTTTTTCACGACTCTTGTAATTCCCTGCTCGCCAAGCTTTGCCAAGCCTGGGGGTGGGCGCTCTGGTCTGTTGTTTTCCTTCAGTACCCGGGTCCTCATGTCGTTTGGGATTGACAATGTCCGCCTCCCAAGTGGTCCATGAAAACGGACATGCGTCTGCCTCCCAAGTGAACACGTTGATACAGGCAAACAACTCTGCACCGATTTCAAGACAATTGACATAGTATGCACGAATTGATTGGAAAAGATGATTCTTCCTTACGAGAAGAGACCATGTTCACGCAAATATCCCACTTCGTCAGTCCGCAGTGGAGATACTCCCTCTAAATTCAACTGCAACGCTGAGCGCCTTCTGTGGGTGTCAACTCGCACTCTAAAGATGTGTGTCACACACGCACACATTGAGCAAGCGAACGAGCATGCGAGCTAGCGAAGGGTTGAGAGAGAGAGAGAGAGAGAGAGAGAGAGAGAGAGAGAGAGAGAGAGAGAGAGCTAAATAGCCTGCCTTGCTGTTTGCTACGCCCATCTACTTGACCTTTACGCGACAGTTTTTGCACTTGGCTTGGGGTCTTTCCCACCGGAAGTGCTACATGCCAGCGTGTTCTTTTCCAGGACTATAAATTAAATGACGTGGAAACTCGCTCGCCTACCAGACATTAAGTACGTACTATATATAATTATATTGATCATAGACTGACCAGTTCCACAACTGGCTAGGCTTCCTATTCAGCTCCATCAGCAAAGTACTCTTGGACACACGTTCTACTGCCTGTGTAGGTGATGTCGCCACTTCTTTATAGGTGACTGCGCACTAATCTCCAAGTTCATCCCCTACAGGTCGCTCATCCTGCTTCTCTCCAAGTAGCTCGCTGATGTGGAACGACCGCCCGCCCTGTTGTTGAAGCCTGGTTAATTCAGGGGATAATTGGTAGAAGTCGCCCACGGGGCCACGCCAAAACCTTTTCGGTTTTGGCCGCCCAGAGTTCAGCCGTTTGGTACTACCGGCCCAATGTCTTCCATCTGGGGTACTACAGGCCCATGCGTCGCTCCAAGGGCCCTACCGGATCATGAATGTGGCACATAAACTGAGCCAGATTCATTTTCATGTAGAAGAGGCCGAGGGTGGTACCGCTGAAGTATAGAATAAGGCCCACGTACCGAATTTTGAAAAAGAAGGGCGAAGGGCCCTACCGGTTCATGAATCTGCCGCAAAAACATGCCTGAATTCATGAACCGGTAAAGACAGGCCACCGGAGCTGTTGCCACGGTGCGAGGGCGCCTTTCACCCAGGCTGAAGACATTTGGGCCGGTACTACCAAACGGCCCACTTTGGGCGGCCAAAATCGAAAACTAACTCAGTTGGTAGGGCACAGAAGTTGCATTCAGGAGGTCGTGGGTTCAATTCCCATTGGCCTCACGTAAGTGCCTGGGCAGGCTTGGTGTTCTACCAGCAAGAGATAACCCGTTGGCCACCCAAGCAAGCCAGCATTGGCAGGACCTTGGCTGATGTTGTTGGCTGCTATGCAGCGACAATACTGGCCATTAGGCACCGCCATGTGGGGTTGGGGGGGGATTGGGGGGGGGTAGGGGGAGGTGCAGTGACTGGCCATTGCTCGGCGCTAGCACCGCCGATTTTCCCCATAGGCAATGCCTGCCCACCCCTGGTCACCGTGATGAGGGACTGGTACAGCCTTGCTCTCGCACCACAGCTGTGGTGCAAACCTACCCCGTGGGCTGGGGAGAGATCCGGGTTGATTGGTGTTCCCCCGTACTATAAATAGACTAGTGAGAGGATGAGATAGA